TTTTTAGAATTCACTCAAAATCAATTCTGTTCTATCACAACAGAACAGTTTCCTACCAAATTATCATATTCTCCTCAACAATTTACAATTGAATCAATTGAAGGTCATCATCAAATACAAGTTAAACCTACAGATATATTAATCGATGAAGAACTCTTACAAATCGCTGATGAAATATTTCATCGTTCTTATTCACATCACTTCAAAAAACAACTAGTAACTTGTCCAACAGTTAATCGACAAAATAAATTTCCACAAGAGATTTTTTCTTCTATCAATGATCAGGATAATTCTTTTAGTAATATTTCGAATTATTTTAAAAATCAATTAGCTGAAAGTTGGAGTAAACTTTTGTTGAACGAAAAAACAGAAATAGAAAATCCTGTAATTGAAGAAATTATTGAACTTCACAATTCTTTTCAACAAAAATCTCAAAAACTTTGGAAGGAATTAGTAGAATCTATTATGATACCTAATGAACAATTATTCAAAACAGGTTTGATCTCACGAATCATACCTACAACTCTCATTTCTTACTTCCAACAAAAACTAACAACACTTGATGTAACCACTGCTCAACCGACATTATTAGGTGGTATTCTTGTCTATTGGACATTAGAACAGCAACTAGAGAGAGCTTTGCATTTTGCTATTCATAACAAATGGGAAGATTTCACTAAAGAAATATCAAATATACCCCATTCAAATTGGATACCATCTGAACATGTTTCATGGCTAATCTTAGAACTAGAAATGAATATAACCATTCGAGCAATCCAAATCAATGTAGCACGTCATATGATGGAACCCAAAATGACTACTGAAGATGATACAAAAATGAAAACTATAGTAATGCAAATGAATATGGGCGAAGGAAAAACATCCGTCATTCTGCCTATGTTAGCTCTTAGTCTATGTTCATCTTCTTCATGTCTAGTTCGTATTATAGTACTGAAATCATTATTTTCAATGAATTATCAATCATTAAGATCTAAATTAGGTGGTTTATTGAATCGACGTATTTTTCCATTTTTATGTCGTCGGGATATAAAATTTACTGAACGACGACTAGATCAAATTTCCATTCGTCTTGCTCAAGCTATACGTAATTGCGATATCATACTAACATCACCAGAAGATATTCTATCATTTGAATTGCTGACTATTGATAAATGTCGACGATATGAATTTCGTATCGCTCGTTCTATGTTAACACTTCAACGCTTATTGAAAAACTATGTACGTGATGTACTAGATGAATCCGATGAAATTTTACATGTTAAATATCAATTGATTTATACAGTCGGTGATCAACAACAAGTCGATGGAGGTGCAGAAAGATGGTTAATGATTCAATCAATACTTGATTTAGTTAAAAAATATGCTGCAGATATTTCAATAAATTTTCCTAAAGAAGTGTGTTATCAATTATCTAAACGAAAAAGTAGTTTTCCACAATTTCGTTTACACTCAGATAAACCGTTTTCATTACTAACTGAAAATATTGCTAATGATTGGATCAACAATAGAAATTATCGACATGCAGATAAACAAATAATCTTATCGTTCATTCTAGAAAGAAATTCATCAGTTGACGATCTAGTTAAGAAATTTCCGTTTCATGATATTCAATTATTTCTTATCATACGTGGTTTATTCTCATCAGAAGTGTTATTAGTTGCTTTAAAACAACGATATCGAGTTAATTATGGTATTAATACAGATCCATGTTTTAATCGTTTAATGTCTGTACCATTTCGTGCAAAGGATGTTGTCACTGACAGAACAGAATTTGGTCATCCTGATGTTGCATTGGTAATAACACAACTCTCCTATTATTATTCTGGTTTAAATGATCAACAATTGATTCAATGTTTTAATCGTTTAAATAACGAAGAAACTGATCCAATATCAATTTATCATCAATGGCTTTCATACGACGGCGATGATAATATACCGACCAGCATTCGACAATGGAAAGGAGTTAACTTAAAAGATTATCAACAAAGAATTCAAGACCTCTTTCCAACATTTCGATACAATATGTTAGTTATTAATTATTTTCTAAATTATTTTGTATATCCTCGAGAAGCAAAACAATTTCGACATAAATTAATTTCATCACCATGGGATTTATCTTCACCAGATCGATCAAAAATTATAACTGGTTTTAGTGGGACGAATGATACACAATTGTTACTTCCTGTTCATATCCGTCAATATGATTTGCCTGAACTTCAGAAAACTGATGCTATTGTTGTTAATAATTTATTACAACCTGAAAATGAACATTATCAATCATTATCAATGAATGCTAGTTCAAACGAAATTTTACATCAAATTATAAATTACAAAGACATGATTAACGTTATTTTAGATGTTGGAGCATTGTTCATTGATGGAACAAATCAAGATATTGCTATTCAATGGTTAAATTTATCCGATAAAGATACTGTTGATTATGTTGTTTATTTTAATTCTGATTCAATATTTGTTTGTAATCGTCAATACCATCATCATCGTTTTGAAACATCTCCAGCAAGTGAACGATTAGATCATTGTATTTTTTATATAGATGAAATTCACACACGAGGAACGGATTTTAAATTTCCATATAAATTTAAAGCTGCTGTAACACTTGGAAATGGTTTAACAAAAGATCGTTTTGTTCAAGCATGTATGCGAATGAGAAAATTAGGAAATGGTCATTCATTGATATTTTGGAGTTCATATGAAGTACATCAACAGATTATAACATCGAAAACATATTCATTCGATCAAAATCAAGGAAAAGAAAATGTTCCTCATCTCATTGATATTCTTCGTTGGGTATATAGTAATACGATCCAATCGACTTGGGAAGGTTTAAAACATTGGGCAATACAAAGTTTAAGTTTTCAACGAAAATTAAACGCATTTTGGATTATTAATTGGGAAAATCAACAACAATTATTTTCAGATATAATGATGAAAGACTTAGCTAGAGAATGTTTAGAATGGGAAACGATCGAATTAATACAAATGTACGGTACATCTAAAGTATTACAAACAATAGAGAAAATTTATTTAGCTCGTTATCAACAATGTAAACATCATTTATCAACAGAAATTCATAATGCTGTATTAAAACGATTGCAAGTTTATGGTGGATCAAAACAATGTCAATCACAATTATTAGATGTAGAACAACAACGAGAATTAGAACAAGAATTTGAACAAGAATTCGAAGAAGAACGACAATTGGCACGTCCTGCACATGCCACGCCATGTGAACCTAAACTACACGATAAAATTAAGAAATTATGCGATATGGATGGGACTATGTTGAATTTAGCACAGTTTCCTGATGTATTTCAGCATTTACCAGAAGCTTTCAAGAACACCACATTTGCAAATGATTGTCAACCCGATGCATGGCAGCGAAACTTCTGGATATCGACGGAATTTCAACAAGTAGTTCAAACTCAAGGAGAATCATTAGATCTCTTTCTACGCCCTCCACGATGGATTGTGGTTTATCGAAATCAACATATTATATTTGTCAGTGTTTTTGAAGCTAATTGGTTAATTAGTCATTTACAATCTAGTATATCATCGATCACTACATTACGTTTGCTGTTACCTCGTTCGAAACGAGGTCAATCAATCTTTGCCAATACTCCTACATTAACAATTCCTCCGTCGATTGCATCGTCCGAGAATACTGCTATGTATGTTATACCAATAAAACAGTTAGTCCAATTATTTATCTTTAATGGTACTCTTTACTTTGAAACAGTTGCTGAACAAACAGCTTATTGTCAATGTTTAAGGTTATGTCCTAAACCTCGAACAATTGCAGAAGAAAAAGCTTTTGAAAAGAATTGGATTGCTGTTGATGGATTTGTAGAAAATCCAAAGTATCGTCGTCGTTTGGAAATTTATCAAGCTCGGATCGATTGCAATCCACTAGTATTCGTCCGACGACTGATTGAAAATCGAAATAGTACATATCTATCGATAATGTCGCATATTGGTAGTATTGTTCTCAATTCATTCAAACTTATGTAGATTATATTTAACCGTTTCGCGGCGATATGAATATTCGTTTTCATAATTCGTGAAAGGTTTCATTTCTGTATTTGTGGCAATTGTAATACTTCAAAAGAGTTTTTATCAACGTTTCTCTTATGAATATGAGCTATGAACATTCCTTTATCAGTGGTGAAAGGATCAGTCCCTTGGAGTGTGGGTGTGGGTGTGGAGGTCCCTCTATCTGAATCAAAAGTCAAAGTCACAATTTCATCTAGATAGCAAGTCATTTTCATGCTTTCTTTTACATGTTTTTCAAAAATAGTTAATTTTAAAAGGATTTTCTGCTATACATTATCGGAGAAAAAGAAGTCTCTCAGTCTTCTCTTTCGATTGGTGAAAACCGCAAGTCTCTAGCTGCTTGCATTCTCAAATTATTCAAAAAACAATGAAGGACATTCTATTTTGAAATGAACAATAGTAACACATATTTATACAATTTCATAAAACGACACTACGAAGTCAGAAAATATCACTTATTTCTTGGTATAATGACTAACTTCTCATTGTACCTGATCAATACCATTAATGACGTAAGCAATTACCTTACTCTTTGTAATGATACCGAATATTTTCAAGACCATTGCCTTTTTTTCTTTTTATAATTGCTCTTTTTTTTTTCTCTTTGTCACATAGTACGACTGCGTTCACCTTTCTTTCTTTCCTGTAAAGTACGAATGCATTCACCTTTTTTTCTTTTCTACAAGGTGCGAATGCGTTCACCTTTCTTTCTTTTCTGTAAAGTACGAATACGTTCACCTTTCTTTTTTTAGTATATAGTAAAAATGCGTTCACCTTTTTTATTTTGCCAGGTATTCTACGTGAGTATATATACTGAGACGATTTGACAATTGATCTACACTGTAAACTGAATACAGCTATTTAATATTTCTTTATAAAATTGTTTATTTCTCTTTGTGAAAGTCGAGATGTGTAATCGATTGTCTAACCATTCATTAATACCTGAACGTCAATTAGGTAAAAATGGACCAAAAGTACCAGCTATTAGTTATGGAGCAATGGGTTTATCAATATCATATGGAACTATCGGATCCGATGAAGAACGATTCAAAGTCTTGGATCGTGCTATTGAACTTGGTAGTACTTATTTTGATAGTGCCGATGTATATGGTGATAATGAAGATTTATTAGGAAAATATTTCAAGAAATATCCAGAACAACTTAAAAAGGTTAGGAAAAAGATTTTGATTAAGAATAAACTTTGAATAATACATTAGTTGAAACAGAATAGAAATATTTTACTTTTTATAAATGATACAAAGAGTTTTCAAAAGATTTTTGTTTGTCTAAAAAAAAATCACACAGGTAGCGCAATGTAAACTGCTGACAGATGACTCTGATTGAAAACTTAAACAATATTTTTTATCTGTAGGTGTTTCTTGCAACAAAATTTGGTGGAGTATTCTCTCCTGACACGAAATCTTACTCAATTCGTGGTGATGCACAATAT